ATTTTGAAATTATCAATTTTGTTTTTTAAATAGTATTTCACGTCAATATGTTATATTTTTCCCATAAAAATAATAAAATAACAGTTACACTATTTTGTGTATTTATTGATAATTAATCTATAAATTTGTTAACTAAATCATTAAATTAAATTATAACAATTAATGAAATATATTACAAAATTTCATACATATTTCAAAAAACAATTTTTATTAGTTTAGTCTCAAAATTTTATTCTTTTTTTTCGTTAAAACTTCTGAACCCCTTAATTTTTTACATTTTTGTTTTGAATTCAAAAAAAATATTTAAGCTGACGAAAAATTATCATCAAAAAAAACTAAAAAAATTTAATTAAAATTACTATTAATATTTAGTTACTATGGTTTTCATTAATCGATTTTATTTATTTTAGTTACAGTTAGTTGCATAAAAATTTACCAATGTCTCAAATTAAAAATAAAAAATACCAAAATAAATATTAATTGCACCTATTTTCAACTTTGTTTCAAAATAATATTAAATTGTATCATAATTAATGGAAATGTCTCAAATATTTAGTAAATTGTATCATAAATAAATAAAATGTCTCAAAATAATATTTTGTTTCAAATTATTGTTAAAATGTATCATAAAAATGAAATATATATCATAATTGTTATAAATTGTCTCATAATTTTGATAATTATTTCTAACATTATTGTTAATTACCATTTTTTTAAATACATCAACTGTATTTTTAATTGGATATCATATGTCAATCGGCCATTTTGAATTCATTCATCAAATTAATGTTTTTGGTTATCTCGACAGACCTCATCTTCTAGAAAAGTTACCAATAAAAAAGATCTCATACCAATGAGACAAAAAAGGAAATTATGACTAAAAGAGCCATTATGACTCAAGAAGAGCATCATGAACAACAGTCGTCCAATAAAAAATTATATGTTAATATTACTGAATCACAGAGACAAAAAAATGATTGAACTTTGTGTAGAATTTGGGACAACAAAATCTGTTGACTTTTATCAACAAAAGACAAGAAACTAGACTCAGTCTTGTAGAAGAAATTTAAAGGAACTCTGTTGTGGAAGGAATATATCAAAGCCATCGAAAAGAGGAAGAAAACCTAAATATAGTTCCGAACTCTTAACAGAAATATTAAAACAACTTTCTATTGAAAGAAAAAGTCTACTTAATTGTAAGAGAGATATCACGAAAAATATTTTTTCGATTTCCATTTCAAAAATAAATCGATATGTTCACAACAAACAAATAATGGTAACGTGTTCATTACCACAACAATCGTTTACATAAATAACCAAAAGAGGAGAAAACTGGACCAATTATTTATCTCTGGGTATTCAGCTGTATTTGTTGATGAAAGTCATTGGTGTGTTGGAAATGTGAGAATGAGAACATGAAAACAACGAGGAAGAAAACATATTGTTGAAACGTAATTGATAATATATGATCAAAGTTGCATTTGCGTTATATCAGATTCTGGAAATAATTATTGCAATTTATTCAACATGGTAGTTAACGGAGACATATTTAAAGTCTATTTTCAAAATTTGGTAGAAGCATTTACTTCAGATGGAAGTAAGATTGTATTTGTTTTTGAAAAACGCAGCCATACATAAAATGAAATTGTGGAAATTGCAAATGTAAAGGGGTGTGAAGTATTATATAACACTCCTTATTCTCCGGAGTGTAATCAGATAGAAATGGTTTTGGTATTTGCAAAACTAAAATTGGAATGTTGAGATATGTTGATTTGAAATATATGATCGAAAACATAAGTTCATGTTTTAATGAAATTCCACCACATGAAATTTAAAAAAAAACAATTCAACATTTTTACTCTGTGGTTACCCCAAAATATTTGCTCATGAAGACCTTTAATTAATCGATTGAAATGTTTTTTAATTATTATCAAAATTATGAGACAATTTATAACAATTATGATATATATTTCATTTTTATGATACATTTTAACAATAATTTGAAACAAAATATTATTTTGAGACATTTTATTTATTTATGATACAATTTACTAAATATTTGAGACATTTCCATTAATTATGATACAATTTAATATTATTTTGAAACAAAGTTGAAAATAGGTGCAATTAATATTTATTTTGGTATTTTTTATTTTTAATTTGAGACATTAAGAGAGCTTACTCAATGACTCATTTGAGTAAGCAGAATAATTTATTTTTAAAAAAATAAATGTTTTTTAATAATAACTTTTAACATTGTTTCACCAAATAATTCACATTTTTCTTTTGTGACATAACAACAAAGTAACAAAAATAAAAAAAAACATTATAAGTTTTACTCTCTTAATTTGTAATATGTTAAAAAAATACAATCATCACACGGAGTATAAACTTATTTCAAAATGTCAGTTGAACCTTTCAACAAAACGTTTGACGATGATAATCAATTAAATAACTCTTCGAAATCTGCTTTGTTAAAACTTGCCAATAAATAAATAAATTTAGTAAAAATAAATGTAAAATTTATTGTCATTAAATTTTTCAGTAAAATTCATGCTTTCTTCAATTTCAACAATTTTATTATCAATTTCACTATCATAATTGAAATTATAAGTTATGCTATTAATCAACACAATATATTTTTAAATGTTCATTAAATTTGTTTTTGTTGGTTTTTTACTAACATTTACTCATTAATAGTTGACTAAGTTCAGTTAAAACAATACTGTTTTCATTAACCTTTATTTTTATATCACCATTCCCAACAACTATATCAAATAATAATTGTGTATTTAAATTTTAATAAGATTCGAGACCAACAACTTCTTTTTGTTCGTTGTAAAATTGAATTGTTTGTTATTTTACTTTGTTTCTTTTTTGGCCTTCCCATTTTCTTTGTTTTGTTTCAATGTTAATCAAGGTTAAGTTACGCCCAATTGTTTGCCTCTTTGATGTTTCATTGTCAATAATTGCATTTTTAATAAGCTTGTTTTTTATTTTTATTTAAAAACACATCTGGTATATTTTCTGTTATACAGACTATATTGGTACATTTGTGAGAGTCATTATGTCTCTTTTTGAAATTAAAGTAATTGTATGATATTTTGTTAACATTAAAACAATAAAATATTCAGCCTGTCAAATGACAGCTGAATTTAAAAAATATATATTTAATTAATTGATAAAAAACAGTTTTTAACTTGAAAACCCATTTTTAAGTAAGCTCTCCTTAGTAAAATTTTATGGAACTAACTGTAAGAAAATAAAATGAATAAAAATTTAACAATAATATTCAAATTTGGTATTGATTCTTATGTGTTACCCACAACCTTATGTGATTTTTAAAAAAATAATAAACAATAAGTTTAAAAAATAATAACATTTTTATTAAAAAAGCAAAAAACACAATATTAAACTAAAAAAAACAAAGAAACTGGAATATGAACCTTAATGTGATTTTAAAAAATATGAGAATAAATCAATTATGTTTTACTCTTGTTTAAAGAGTCTACATAGTGCCGAGGAGTCATCTTTTATAACCCACATCTTTGCCCCTGGTATTACAAGGTTTTATCCAAGCCAAAGTCAAATAGCGGTCCTGTGCTATTCAAATGGCAAGAATTTGTTTTGAGGATCGAATGGAGAGACAATCTGACTCTCTAAGTTCAAAGCGTTTCCTTCAAAACCTTTGGAAACACAGAGTTGGGACTTGTTGGAACGGCGAAGATGCGAGGTGACAAGGCTCGACTTACTCTTCCTGGGAGATTGCCTTTAGGGTTTACCAGACCCTATCCAGCCACCAGGCCAACTTCCTGTGGGAGATCTCGCTTATCGGAGGTATCGATAGCTACTTTTGACAACTCACAATTTGTGGTGTCTCCCTCGTGTAGGGTTGATCTCTAAAACAATTATTATGAAAATATGAATATATTAAGTTGAAAGAAAAAATAAGATAATATAAAAAATCAATAAAATGAGTTAAACTAATTTAAACTAAATAATCAAAAACATCATTTGGTGATATTTGTCATTCTATTGGCACAAAAATAATGAAGGGAATACTGTGATGAAGATGAAAAAACTAATATGTTACCTTTATTTTTTTGACATCAAAATTACCATCGATGCTTTGCACACCAGTTGAATCAAATAATTTATTGCCATTTTTCATTGAAATCACAATATTTGAATACTTCTTGTATTTTCATATCCATCTATGCAACGAAATTACAACGAGGTCGTGATTGTTCGCTCTATTGATTAATATGAACTGCACCACCGGTAAGAATAAATATTCGCCAAATGTTTCCTCTGAACCATGGGATTCTTATCAACTTGTTGTTTTGTTGAATTTGTTGAACTATATCATTGGCCAGGAAAATATAACCAGATAGACTCTTTAACAAATAAAATGCTTTTTTTAAGTTTTTTCGAATTTGCCTGCTTTAATTGTTTTATTTATATTGTCTTTCATTTTATTTTTGTTTTTATTAATTGTGGATTTTTAAATTGAAAGCAATCCGTTGCAACACTCATAAATAAAGCAATTTATTTATGAGTAAAATATATCACTACAGAATAATCAACCAAATAGTTAAGAAATTTATGAGAATGTGTAAAATGACATTTCAAACAACGTCAAATTTTAAAATTGCCAAGATGTATGATAAAATTGAGTTTTACATAATAACAAAACCTTTTAGCTAAAAATCATATTAATAGAGAAGGTACTCGAATCTGCCAAAATAACATTTAATTTTTATAACTAAGACAATAAGGAACATAAGTAATTCAAACCTTTATTTTATGTGTTTTTTTATACATAATAGTTTCTATTTAACAAATCTAATAATTTATAAAATAATTAAGAATAAATAATTTTTTAGTCTTATTTAATTCAAATTAATTGAAAAATTGTACATCCACTTTTTGGACTTTTGAAGATTTCATATTCGACCAAAATTTATACTTTTTTTTAAACTTGTAACTCAAATAAAAAAATGGCGAACAAAATACCACAGTTCGACGAATTTGATTTCACTAAGCGTTTGACTACTCCGTTTTTATACCTTTTTAATGATTAGGTTTATTAAATACACGACTTCCATCACCACTGACTATCACTGTGTCAAGCCCCCAATTCGTTTGTAACTTTTTTTTGCTTTGATTTGCACTTATTTTTTTGAATAAAATTATAACGCTCACTGATTTAAAGAGAGTCTCAACACAATTTCCAGAAATAATTCCAACAGACGACGAGACCAAATTGGCTCAACCTTCTTTTGTGATGAAAACCTCCCCACAAGTCATTTTTAAGTCTTGGTATAAACGTATTGGGATCAATGCTACTCTATCAAGTCTAACTCAAATGGCACAGCTGTCTTCTTCAAATCAATATGTCAACGTCACTACCTGTGCTGCGATATCAGGAAAGTCGTTAAGTAAATTAGAGATGAGTGTTGTTGCCAAACTCACTTCCAAGATCTATGCAGGCCTTGACTATAAGATGAATGGTTCCAAATTAGCTCCTCTCTCTGTCGAGGCTCCAAGTGGTTTAGTTGAGTCTTCCAAACCCAAACCCACTTCCCTTCAAGAAGTTCTCAATGGTATAAAGTCGATCAAGTCCAATTGTTCTGGGTTCATAGCGTATAGTACTTCACCACTGAAGTATTCCTTCTATTTGTTTGTTATTTAAATTAATACTATTATTATACTATTTTAATACTAGAATTTATATTAATAGTATTAAAATGGTATAATAATAGTATTTTTACTTGATTTGGATTATATAGTAAATAATAATATTTTTTATTATATTTAACAGACAGCGACTTTGTCAGCAATTGTTTAGGTATTAAAGCATTGGGCCAATACAAAGGCAGTTTATATGCAGTTGATTTGATGCAAAAGAGTGGGAAAACCGAACTTTTAGTAGGAGCCAGTCGTCACGTGAATAACGTTGGTAACTGCAAAGTCGTATTATCGTCAACAAAGAAGTTAGTTGCTGAAGTGTTATATCCGTTGACCGCTGCACTCAATTTGAAGACACAATATACACTGCAAGCGGCTGGGTGGAAGGAGAGTTTAGCTTTTGGCTTTGATTATAACATGGCTTGACGTGTTTTATGTTATTCGATTGTTATATATAACATTTTAAATAACATTTTAAACCAAGTGCACACAAAAGCATTTAACCAAAGATGAGCAAAAACACGATGGCACACGCGTTCACGAATATTAATGGGTACCTAGCCAAATCTTGTGTTCTATAAAAGAAATAACTGAGTCTTCCTCTGACTGTTTTGTTTTGTTCGTTGTCTTTATTTGCGTCGTCATATTGAATGCCAACTACGGATGAGTCTCGTTGTATTGTTAAAAATTATTATATCCACAAACTCTTTGATAGAAAACGCTGTTGGTTTAAGATCACAATTGAATTTAAAAACAATATGGTACTTACTATTAAGCTCGACACAAACCCACTCAATGTGAATTTAAACTCCATCCCCTCTCTTTGCCATTTTTCAGTTCTTCTTCTTTTTCTTTTCATCTTTTTCTTTCTAGTATCTTAAGACTACTTCTTTCACTATTAAAAATTTTATACCACTTCATATTAAAATCTCTTATTGTATTGAAATTGTAGCTCACCTTCCTCTTTGTATTAGA